GCAGGTATCATTGGTTTACAACGTACCTCTTGGTGGACAGAATGGTGAGGAGTAAGCATATCCTTAAAAAATGATCTGGGGACAACATGTGCATCGAGGACGAACTCCCTGACCATTAATGGAAAATAGTAATTTAAAGGTTTGGGGAAAAAGAAGTAAGTAATGAATTCAATAAGAAACTGAATTACCTCTGGCGATAAGATTTCAGAGTGGACAAGAAATGTTTCCGAAGATCATCATTTACTAGGACAAACGGGTGCAAAACCTCATCAGTTGATTGGGAAACACTGTTGGTCCCTGTGGATTCTTGTCCCTGGACTGGAATAGGGTCACGGAAACGGTGGGGTTTATTCCTTGCCCTTTTGGGAGGGAGGATCGGCTTAGAAGAATCCCCGCCAAGAGAAGAGGATTTTCTCTTTTTCCCAGAGGGACTTTTTTCTGAAATTGCCACACCACCAGTAGCATTTCCCTATAAAAAAAGGTATTTTAGGGAAAGGGACAAACAGAACCACAATTAAAATGCTGAAAATTTATGAGATACCTCTTGATCGTCAACCAGTTGTTCATCAGCACCTCTTGAGGATTTAAAAAGCTCTGGCGGCCATGCTTTGTTTGCCTAGATGAATGGGCACGACAGGTTAGGGATAAGAAATTAGAATTTGCGTTTTAGTTATTACAGAAATAAGTATTATACCTCGTCCATAGCTTCATCTTGGTGATCCTCGTCTTCAGACCTTCCTTCACTATCACCACTACTCTCGTCACCCTCTTTGGGTTCGTGGTCCCCAGAAACAGACTTATCCTCTAAAACCTCAGTCTCAACATCGTCCCCGGAGACATCAACAGACTTTTCAATTACTTCTTCTCTTCTGTCCTCGCACTCAACAACATCAACGTGCTCAGACACACCAACAGACTTATTCTCTATAGCTTCCCTTCTCTCCTCACCAACAAATCCCACGTCCTCAGACACACCAAAAGAATTTCCACCAGCAACCTGTTATAGGTGATTAGAAGAGAGGATCATATCCATGGAAAGACACAGGTATCCACGTTGAAACAGAGACAAACCTGCTCTGTATCTTGATCGTCCTCTGATTCATCAGCCGAACTGATCTCCTCTACATCTTGATGAGGCGTTTGGAAGTCGTTGGGCTAAAAGTAAAGAGAATTAAAAGTAAAAAAGGATTAGAAAAATAAAAAACTCCACCACATAAGAAAACAAATAATGACTTTAGTTAAACTTACGTTGTGATCTTCAGGAAAATTCTCTTTAACAGACTTTCCAACCAGGACCTGTGTAAAATGGTTTAGGAACCATTCCCAGAAAGAGGTAGACAAAAAAAAAATGTAATATACAAACCTCATCTGCAACTTCTTCGTCCTCGGTTTCCTCTGCGTTGTCCTCACTAATGGTTGGCAATGGAGTTTGGAAGTCTTTTGGCTGAATAATATGTAAGAAACAGAGGTTATTCAACGTCAAAACAATAGAGAAGGACCAGAAGCAACAAGGAAACTTACGTTGTGATCAATAGAGAACTTCGAGGAAGAAGGACCAGAAGGAGATGGATGAATGGTAGAAGGACCAGAAGCAACAAGACCAGGAGAAGGTCCAAACGGACCAGACTTAGCAGGACCAGAGGGAGATGCATAAGACTGGTTGAGGTTTTGTAAAACATCAGACACTCCTCCGTACTCAGACCAGGCTTGCCGCTGAAACTCCTCCAAAAGTTGAGAATTACTTTTCCCCTTAGACGGCGATTGAGGAGAACTTGGGGCGGGAGGGTCTATCTGGACATGGGGGGAATCAGAGGTCTGCCCACTAGGGACCTTGTTGATATTTATATTTTCTGGGGGACCATGCGTTTGTCCCTCAGTAACAGCGTTCGTTAATGGGACATCTGTGTGTCCCCCGGACTCCTTGTTTACATTTGCATTATTAGGGGGACCATAGGTTTGTCCCTCAGATGGTTTGTTTTTACCTGGTGAAGCAGCTTTCGGAGGGGGGGTTGTTGGAAACTTCCCACCATGGCGCAGATTGCTAATAATCTCGTCTAAGAGTTCGTCTTTCAATAAAGACTTCTCTACTCCATACATCCGACAAACTTCACCCATCAATTCAACCTTCAATTCCTCTTTCATGTCACGGAACTTCGAATTAACTTCTTCCATGATCAGAGCATGGAGAACATCTTTACCTTCAGTCCCTGCTGGGGGACAAAAGTCTTCATCGACCTTCCCTTTACCTTTTGATGAACCAGATGGACCACCCTGGGGAAACTCAGGCATGTCAGAGTTTATATTTGGACGTCTCACAGGTACCTTCTTGGTCTTGCGAACATTGGGTTCTTTGGGGTTCTCATCAACGACTATCTTTGGCCAAGTACGACACCCACCAATCCAGTCAGCTTGGCAGAACTTGTATCCGCCACCAATAAGGCTTTCCATATAGTCAATCGCCGGGTCAGAGACTTCATCAGGCCAATCGTTGATCGATGGGTGTGGGGGATCATCAGTAGACAACAGCGGGGCAATCCTTAACTACATTGAATTCAATAATTAATTAGTAAACACTTGGGTACTAGGGTAAAAAAATAATAATGTTCACGAGAAGGACAAAAATAATAATTACCCCAGGAATTAGCTCTGTTTCCATTATGTTGGAATTGTGAAAAGTCTTCAACGGAGGCAAAGTAGTGATTGACCCATCAATGATAGTCTGCGTATCATCAGGTTGATTAAGGTATCTCTCAAAAACTGGGATGGCCTTTAACATCAGCAGTTGGAAGACAAGAGGGAACCCATGGGTTGAAGAGTGAGACTGGTTGAACTTCGCAATTAGGGCAGAGAGACTGTTAACCTTCTGACTGACCTTAACCATTCGCATTGTCAGAAGGAATGATTCTCGTCCCCATGGAAACGCTTCAAACGACTCCAAATGCTGAACCATTTCGACAACTTGAAGAGAAGCTCTCACAGGTTGGGAACTGCAAAGCAATACCCCTTCAACGATCACGATAAGAGCGAGACGAAGCCTTCTCCAGTCATCCATCTTCTCTTTCTTGGGCTTCATCTTGTCTTTCCTCAGCCAGTCAACAATGTCCTTGATGAGGACACCCGTGTGGTCCTCGCCTATGAGAATATTCCAGTACGGATGTTTTTTGGTACATTCTCTCTGCGACTT